TTCCTTGTTATTTCCAAGGACAACATTGGATGGAAACTCCCGATCAATTGTGCTAGCCGCAACGGTGAGAACCCACGGGGCTACATTTGAAGCTGTTCCGAAGCCAAAGCCTTGTCCGGAGTTCCCAGCCGAGCAAACTACAAGAATTCCGTTCATAACAGCCTGAAAAGCTCCAATTGCAATACCACTTCTGAAGTAAGGAATAGCAACTGCCCTTCCAAGTGAAATGGACAAAATGTCAACCCCATCTTGAATAGCAGCGTCGAAGGCAGCCAATATATCAGCATCATAGCATCTCGGCCAGCACACCTTGTATGATGCAACTCGTGCATTAGGTGATCCTCCTTTAGCCGTCCCGTAGGCTGATCCTAGGAAATTGGCACCTGAAACAAAGCGACCACCAGCTGTAGATAGAGTGTGGGTACCATGACCATCAGTATCTCTTGCGGTGTTATTGGACGAATCAAGTGCACGGCCTAGAGCTGCTTCATAACCCTTGTTGAAGTACCTTGCTCCGATCAACTTCCTGTAAGTAATTACATTGATTTCTTTTTTTAGAACTTGTATCAACAAGCCTTTTTCACTGTTCTTAGCAATGTTAGAGAGCAGGCGAAGAAAGAAACCTGTTGCATTTAACCCCATCATTTGTTTCACAGTATCCTTTCCACCTTGTTGGAATTGGTCCCATTCCTTCATCGTCGAAGCTCTGTGATTCCGGCCAGACACCTATCAATCAACCACGAATTAATCAAGAGAGAAGATTAAAATGTTACAACTAATAAGAAGGAAAAAAAAAGGACCATTCAAAAGCTGTTGCCGACCAGTGGATAGCTTAAAGAAACATTCTGAAGATGTGTCATCATCGACGATAGATTATATAATACATTAAGGGCAGCCGCAACGAGGATTTAAATATTAACGTTCTAGACCTAATAAAATACATTAAGTGCAGTCTTTATGGACCCTTCAATGCTGAAGCTCGCTTGTCCAGAGATGAAACAAAGCAGTAGTAATTATGAAACTAATAAAATTCGCTTTTCCAAATCAAACACAAGTAAGATTACCAGTGTCAAGATTTCCAATAATGACGTCTTCACCAAATCTTGCCTTTAACCAGATTGAATCAGCAGGGATTTGTCCATTTCTCTCTAGTCCAAGAAACTCCCATGACCGAGTTGTATGCAACTGATTTACTTCATTTGGAAAAACTGATACAACTTCCGGACGGTCTACAACGATAGGAAAGAACAGAAAACAATCAAAGATCCGAGTACATATTAGACTGTGAAATGAAGCAGAAGGAATGACAATATCATCAGCTTGCCATGTTTTCGTACTCGATAATTGATCCACTTCATCATCTTCAAGGGTTGCAGCAAAGCCATTGATATGACTTGTGTACGAATAAAATATTGCTTCTTTAGCTTTCTCCTTGCTGTTTAATTCACAATTTATCAGTACAACAATGGAGATGGAATATTTATGAAATTAGTTGTCATTACCTTTTCAAACATGAACCCAGTAGATCATAGTAGGACTCGGTCATTCCATCATTCCCCAAGGTTGAAGGTTTAGAAGTGTGTGAATTTCTCCCGAGATACACCACATAAGACTGAACCATGGAAATCATATATATATTATCATCGTAAAAATAACAGAAAACATGCATAGTAGTTGAGAGTAAGTTTTAACACTACGTGCTTAATTCCATGCTCTCTAGCGCCCTCTTGTACATGTCAAAACCTTAGCATATACTCAGAACTTGGGCTTAATTTATTTTGATCATGGCAAGCAAAAGCATTGCATGAGTATAAAAGTAAGCAACTGAGAAAGCAAAGGACATGATGATCAAAGGTCAAGAATGATACTTGCCTTTTTCACCGCTAATATTGGTCTGATCCGCAGAAAGGACAAAAGGGAGAAAAGAAGCAACAGAGAAGAAATAATCTTCATATTTTCTATACTTTCAATTTGCAATACAAATGAAAGGCTGCTAATTCTACCCTTTATATAGGATCGTCATCTGAAAATTATCTGCGAAAATGTCTTCGTAATTAATGAAATTAAGCGTGGATGAAGTTTTCAGATGTTATTACTAGTCAATAAATGATAATTAAGTTCTGCTTCTTAGTGAAGTCGTCAGATTAATAGTATATTATTGCAAGCCATGCAGTAGAAAATCTCAGGATTTGAGCAAGTCCAAGTATCATATGACCATGTAAGTGAGTAGAAAATGTCTGCGTTGCCGACTAGCGAAATGTATTAAGACATACTTGATTATTTTTAGGAAAAGTTACCTCTCAGACATTTATTAGGTTAAGATCAACATGGAAATTTCCAAACTTTTGACGTGGGTTATCCTGTCCTTTCCAGAATTAAAGATTCATGACTCGGATAATTAATTCTACACATCTCTTTCCCGGAGGAGATCAAGGTTGATGAACAAGTAGATGACCTGCCATCTTGGCCAGTGCCCTAGTTGGTTTTTCTTTTTTAATCTTCTCTGGAATGGGATGAAGGAAACAGATCAAGACAGAGTCAAACATTTAGAAAAGAAGTTCGACATGAAAATTCAACAGGGTTTAAAGATGAAACTGGTTCCATCATGTAAGATAAGAGCTTATTAATGTCCAATTAGAAAGATCGTGAAGTGTGAAGAAAATCTTAAGTTCAATTTTGAAGTATACCATCATACTTAATTTTTTTAGATGGTAATTATACTTCATTGATTCAATAATACATCATGACTTTTGTTTCTCTAGAATCATTTAGATAATAATAGTTGAAGCATGGAGTTCAATTGACATATCTTATAAACTCTTGCTAGAAATTCATCGAGGTCGTATAGGAATTGCTTCACATGTCAATTAATATAGAACATTACCAAAAAAAAATTACCAAATATAAATAAAAATATCGATAAAAAAAAAACCAATAGCAAATTACAATGATATTTACTGATGAAACATAACGTCATTATTTCTGTCAGAGAATTATAAGTGAGAATCAAGAAATGAAAAAAAAAATGGGCAGGTATCCTCTTGTTATTTCCTTGAAAAATATTATATGTCAATATTACAAATAAAATTACCGATGAAATATAACCATTGTTAATATTTGTTAGTGAATCCGTTGGTAATATTTTAGTTATAACCTATTAGATCTCCTACCCCTCTTTTTCATTTCTTATTCTTCTTGCTTTTTCATGCAGAAAAAAGTATCATTCCTCCTTATTTTGTCACAAATCAAGTTTCTATCTTAACAAATTTGGCCATCACAACTCTCAATTTGTTAATATCCATGTTCTGGTTTAATTTTTTTAATATTTATCATATTAAGTAAGCAAACTTACCTCTTTTTTTTTGTTAATTTTATTGGTAAGTAATTCATGATAGCTCATTAACTTGGTATCAGTAATTTATTTAGTTCACAATAATAATTAATATATTTTCTCATCAATATTCTATATAAATTTCATATAAGTAATAGGTAATCATTTTTGGCGTTGATCTTTAGGTCACACTCACATACACATATACATACACATATATTAATAATAACAATAATATGAAAATTGGACTAATAATATGCTTGGTAAAGAATTAGTTTTAAACAGGTTTATACAAACACCATATTAATAAATATAAAAAATTTTAGTGTTCATTTTAGTGTTTTATATAAATCTATAAATATCATGTTGATAGCACACTTAAAATAAATGTCCCCACTTCATTATGCATATATAAGAAGGGTTGATTAAATCTCTGATAGACGGTTATAAGAATTCACCTAGATTAAAATTAATAAATATAGGATTTTGTATAAATCAATCAATTGTTTGGCTTAATCAAATGAATTGATAGACCATTTATTTATTCATGATAAACACCTGAGAATTCTGAAAAAAAGGGTCAACCGATTAGCTTGATCAATTTGAACTATTCATCGATTTCAATTGTCAATGGGACTGTAACGACTATAAAAGACTAATTTTTATAATTGTGAAAAAAAAATCCAAACCTGATCTTATTCTCAATACACTTAAACAACTTCAAATCCCTTAAAGTGTTATCTTGTGAGATATAGAGATATTAAATATTTGAATTGTATTATCTATTTTATTGAGAGAGTTATTTATAATAACAAAATCAATCTTGTAAACCTTTGAAATTTAGATAAAAACTTTTGATATTGATGAGGTATATTCATCAAGGAAGAAAATCTTGAAAAGCATATCTTCACATGATGTAAATATATTGGCATGGATTCATTAAATGAATATTGTACTTTACAGCATGGACAAATAAAAGAATACAAAACTCAAGTATGATTTGATGTTTGAGATGTGAATATAGGCTTACCGAACTATGTTAAAAATAAGTTTGTAAATTCTTTCACTTACTTATTTATTCTAAGCATTTTAATTATATTATTGGTTATTGTATCTATCTAAATTAATATGCTTTATTTGTTAATATTAGTGGTAAACTTATTATCAAAACTTAGTTATTATTTTCATGGCAACTACTAATTATAATCTTCAAAATGACCTCTAAGCCACCTTTTTTTTATTATAATGATTATGCATAGAATGATTATATATCTTTAATTTATTAATTATGATTTAGCTTATCTTGTAACTGTAATGCCCATAAACACATAAAAGTGAGGTCATAAAATCATCAAACAAGACAAAGCTAAACTTAATTATAGAATCTAGTTTCAAATTATTAGTAATAGTCAAAGATCCTTCACTAGTTACTAGGTCAAAGAACCATCGGAAATAGAAACAAACTTTTGTGAGGACGAGTGAAATGTCTAGAATCAAATGTAATATTAGAATTAAAACTTTATCACCATTGTTTACAGTTACGAGCAATGCTGGGGTTTATCGACGATATTTTCTTCTGTTTTTGTTTCAACGGCTTCTGCGGTGGATCACAAATATAGTCCCTTTATCTTGATCATCACACAAGTCCCATAACATCAAACAGCAATGATTGCATTTATAAATACTTAGAAACACTGTTATTGTTTCTAAGCTAACTTGGTCTAGTTCTATTCTATGATTTGGATGAGGCCAGTTTCGTGCCAACTGAAGCATCAGAGTTTTTAGTTTCTTCTAGAAGTTTTTCATTGGTTTCTTTGAGCTCCTAAACCTCATTTTTTAGCTGGTTCAGAACTCTAACAGCATCGTATAATTTCACAGGTCTGTCAATCTTGGTTGGTCTTCCAGGTTGCGAAACAGAGCTCAAATCTTGAAACATATCATTCAATCCTCCCTCCGCAACTTCTCGTGGCAAGCTTTGATCCCTGCTCTGGTACATGAATCAGTGCGCCCCCTCTTCTGTTGATGAAACGCAATATTGTTCAACCTTGCGATTTAGGGTGCCTTTGTTTACATTAAAAAATTGTTTTTTTGGGTGTTTTTGTATATGTAAAAAATAAATTTTAAAAAATAACTACTGTTATGATGTTAGCTAAACACCTTGAACCCCAAGCAATGACGTTTTGCATCTCTAAAAGTTTGTTTTGGAAACAAATATTTAAAATAAATCAATAGCAGATATTTTGACTCAATTTTTGGAGAAAAATGTTTTAACCCTTGAAGTGGAAAATATTTTCCTTCACATTATCATGATAGTCATGAATAAATCAATAGCACAACCATTCCGTCGCTGGTCTCTACCTTATTAATTACTATTTTATTATTATACGACCATGATTTTTTATAACCGTTACCACAGCCACCTTGTCCCCACCTCCCCACCACCGTTACATAAATCCTTCTGAGACTATCACAACCGTCATTGATGTGATTATTATCAACATCTCTTTATTAAAATAAATAATATTTTATCCTCATCATCGTCATTTTCACTGCTATAACAACTACTATCATAGAGCCAGTATTATTATCATTTTTTATTGAGAAAATTACCTTGGACATTGTATAATTTAATCATTTTTTTATTTTATAATCAATTTTTTAAATATTACAATTTATAACCTTGGTTAAAATAAAATTTGAAAATCAATTAAAACAAAACCAATAGTAGCTTCATATATATATATATATATATATATATGAAGCTACTATTGGTTTTGTTTTAATTGATTTTCAAATTTTATTTTAACCAAGGTTATAAATTGTAATATTTAAAAAATTGATTATAAAATAAAAAAATGATTAAATTATACAATGTCCAAGGTAATTTTCTCAATAAAAAATGATAATAATACTGGCTCTATGATAGTAGTTGTTATAGCAGTGAAAATGACGATGATGAGGATAAAATATTATTTATTTTAATAAAGAGATGTTGATAATAATCACATCAATGACGGTTGTGATAGTCTCAGAAGGATTTATGTAACGGTGGTGGGGAGGTGGGGACAAGGTGGCTGTGGTAACGGTTATAAAAAATCATGGTCGTATAATAATAAAATAGTAATTAATAAGGTAGAGACCAGCGACGGAATGGTTGTGCTATTGATTTATTCATGACTATCATGATAATGTGAAGGAAAATATTTTCCACTTCAAGGGTTAAAACATTTTTCTCCAAAAATTGAGTCAAAATATCTGCTATTGATTTATTTTAAATATTTGTTTCCAAAACAAACTTTTAGAGATGCAAAACGTCATTGCTTGGGGTTCAAGGTGTTTAGCTAACATCATAACAGTAGTTATTTTTTAAAATTTATTTTTTACATATACAAAAACACCCAAAAAAACAATTTTTTAATGTAAACAAAGGCACCCTAAATCGCAAGGTTGAACAATATTGCGTTTCATCAACAGACACAAGTTCCTGGTAGTCGATCAACCCCATACACTCCACTGTCAGTGCCTAGTTTTTGAGGTCCACCACCAAAATTGGCATAAAAGCTGGTTCACCGGAAAGAGAATGCAGGTGGCCTGCAGTAATGTTAATCCACAAGTTGCTCAAAACAGTGGAGCACAAGGGACGGAGATAATGAAGGGGAACAAGCTACCTTAACTATCAGATTATGCTCTTTGTTTGCTGTCAGTTGACTCATAAAATCATATTTACATATCTGAGACCTCTCCGCATGAAGTAGCTGCTAACAGATGGCAATAAATGATTTGATAACATAAATTGCCATATAGAACTTAAGAATGGAAATGGTGTTCCTAAGTTCACTAAAAACCGTAATCCCCATTGTGATACTTGTCTTCTGGATAATAAGACGCGTTCACAGTATTTCCTCCAAATTTCCTCCCATTTAGTGCACTTCTTGCATTTGAACAGCTACTGGTATCGGAATACTCTAAGAACACCTGCAAGAAACACGAGTACAGAGTACTCTAAAATATATCATATTCTCTGGTGCAACTAACTTCATTAGAACAGTTCCTCTTCCTTTCAAACTGGGCAGTAAACTTGAAAAATTTAGAATGAATGGCGGATGCTTTCCTAAGTATTGGTATACCTGTGAAGAAAGCTAGACACAGATCTCAACACTACATATACAAGACGTTTAAAACAGATGCAGCACAAGAAAACCGAATACCTTTCCAGCACCAGATATTTGCTCTTCAGTCTGACTTGGGCGAGGGATAACAACATTGATCAAGGTTCCTAATCACAACCAAGCACATATTATTATTTGCAATATGCAATGATAAACTACACAAACAAAAGAACTACATGCATAAGTTGTGTGGTTCAGGGTCAATAATTGGATGTTAAGTGTTAATGAATGAACTGTCAAGGGTGTAAGAAAGTAGTTGAAGGGTGAAGTGTTAAAAATGTTTAGTTTTTGTGTAATAAATTAAGCATAATTGTAGGGTGCAATTTAAAAATAATAAATCAAATTAAATACAATTTTAAAAAAATAAATATAGAATATCGATGGGACCCAATATTAGGTGTAAGAAAAAGACAAGAATGAATGATGATTTGAATAAAAAATTAAATAAAGGAATTAAGTGTTAACCCCTTAAAGTTTTTCCCATGCCCCTAAAGTTTCCCAAACAAGGTTAAAAGAAGTTAAGGTTAACAAGCGAAGACTCAACCCCCTTTAACCCAAAACCAAACACAGCCTTGTTAGAAACAAGCATAATAGCAATTCCCATGATGAGATCATTTTTCTGCATGGCAACATATAGTCCGTCCTAATGTACAGAAGTAAATTTTCATCATTGTGTGCATACCAAATTTACAACATTCTTCCCGCATATCTTCTAATATTTCTTCATACTCTACATCATCTGCTAGTACTTCCATTGCAATTGCCTTTATCAGAAAGAGGATAAAAGAGAATTAGATTTATCAATCATTCAGTCAGCATACATCCATTAAACCAAGGATGAAAAAACTGATGGTTGGACAAGGTGCACGTGAGAAGGATGGATGATCTAAGTTCAGTGGTGCAATATGCAAATATCATATACATGGGGACAAACATCTGGAATATCATGGCATGCATTATCTGGGGATGAAGGAACTGGGACAAGTGAAGGAAAAACATCAAGGTGCTAAAGAAACAAGCTTCCATTCTGAGCATTCTGGAGATCTGTTTATTTCCTCTTCTTCTCCCCCATTCTTTAAATAGAGGGTTATGGCAGTGGTAAGAGTAAGAGTAATACTAGTAACGAAGAAAATAAAATCACAAACTAGAAAAAAGATATATGGCACCTCAGTTAAGCATAAAACTTTAGATGGAGAGTGTGAAGATTCTGCCAATGGTATCCCTACTCCAGGAAGATTCATAACACCAGCTTGCAGGGCCATTTTCTGCAACCCGAAACCATATGAGAGCCTTGATCATAGTTTTAAGAGTAAATAAAACAGATGAAACGCATTCCTTTACCTGGATAGCTATATGTTGCTGAGCTTGAGCTAATATATTTTCCTGTTCCGACCTGGACTGCCCGCCACTGTTTCAGGCAACATGCATCCACTGAGTGTACAGAATAATGAACTACAAAATTAATGCACAAGTATAATCTGAAACCACACATGCAAATTTTCTCATAGCTAAGGGTCTGTGGAACAAACAGCAGGTAGGTGCAATACAAGAAATTTATGTTTCTCTGAAACCAATTTTTCTCCCTTCATGCTTTACTATTTCTTCTCAATTTTAATGAAAACAACACATTCTTCATTCCTTTCTTTATTGTGGCTTGTTTTCACATCACCCATGATACGTGTGAAACAAGGAGGGATGGAAAAATGAATTTCATTGACAGAAATGCATTAATTTATTGCCTTCAATTTACATCCACAAGTCAAAATGAGTCCGTTTTAACTTAACTGACCTTAACATGTGGATTCTCAAAATGAAAAAACATCTTTGACTTAAACAAGGAAGTCCATGGGTTAATTATTCTCAAGTCTCCCCCCCACCCCCCTCTCCCAAGACACGCATGTACATCTTTTGTCTCAATCATTGAGTGATACATGAGATTAACTTATACCCATCAAACTTCATGAGTTAGAAAGGCAAACTGTCCACCCTTTGCTCATAGCCTTTGACAACAGATGCAATACAGAGACAACCAGCTGCATCGCCAAAGTAGGCAATGTCCCCTCCACAGTCCAAACAACCCTACCAGTTAGGTGTGTGATGGTAGTGAGATTAAACAAATTGCACAAAAGAGCCATGACACCTTGGAGAGGGTTAGTTTTTTTCTTTGAGGTCTCAAGAAAAGTCATGGACTTCCAGTCATGTCTAGATATTACTTGAGCTTCTTTTTATCTCCAATATCTTATTTGGCTTCTAGTGTATATGGGGAATGATAAACCTAGAAAGGTTAAAACAAAATCACGGTCATCAAAAGCAAAAATTTCTTGCTTTTCACTGAAAATAAAACTATAAAGGCCAAATAAGAATACAATTGCTATTTGATTGAGAAAAAATATTTTCATCCCCCTTTGAAACCAGTCAAATTTATATGAATAATTCCTCAAAAGTTCTATGTTTCACATGACCCACTTAACACCAATCAACATTATTCATGGGGACATCCTCCAATCAGCAATCCATACTGATTCATTAGAAGATTGATGAAGAGGAAAGAAAACATAAAACACTTCTTGTTCTCCCTGTAAAAGCACAAATTTTAATATTCGCACTTGTACAAACACACACACACTAGTACGCGAATGCACAATTTCTGTTCCCATTGCACAGTTTCAACATTAGTGCATCTCAAATGTCACTTGTCATTTTGGAATCTAAATATCCCAAGTCTAAAATTAATCATTATTGCTGAAGTACAGGAAAATCAGCAACACAATAAGCCTACGCTTCCAGTAAGCTTGAGAGAGCAGATTGGTTTTAAATGACACTCCTGTCATAGACAGGCATAATTTCCACTAGTGCCAATTTTGGAAAAAAATCGGGGACTACCAAGTTTTGTAAAAAGAAAATCAGCACAAACTGATAAGCCTGCCCTATAAAACCATAGTAGTACAAGCATGTAGAAAGGTAACAGAAAAAAGGAGCATAAATTTTGATGCATGCATGAGGAATGATAGTGTAAATTCCAGCCAAATCTTGGCTCATTTGACTAAAAAGACTAACCTTTCAGTACCACGACGGACAGTTAAAGTTTTATCTCCCATTTTCAAGCCATTTAGAGCAGCACATGCAATATCAGTCACTGCAGGATCCTGAAGAGCTTGCACATTATTTCACCAGTTAGGGGAAAAAAATGACACCCCAACATTATACCCTAGTGTGTGTGTGTGTGTGTGTGTGCGTGTAATCTAAAACAAGCAAGACAACAAAGGTTTTAACAACCAATTATAAATCCAACCTAAGATGAGAAAAGCTATATTGAATTTCAGCAATCAAGATGCTATTCAGATCAAAACATAATATGATTTAGCTGTTGAGACAGATACCAAATAAATGTAATGCTTGAATTCACTCACCTGATAGACACAGAAACCATATCCTTTAGAGTTCCCAGTGTCTCTGTCCTTCACAAGGTCAAAACCACGGAGAGGTCTGCATAGATCAAAGGCAACCATTGCAACAGTTAAAACATCTATTTAGCATACCGACTAAAAGAGATTAGATTAATAAATATGAAGAGCAAAAAACACAAAGAAGATCACTGCAGCAAGAAAATTGAAAATGAAAGACAAATGTGGTTGAACTTCATACCCGAAAGACTCTAGCAGCTCTCTTATCTGTGACTCGGTAAAGTAATATGGCAATCCACCCACAAAGACACGATCAGGCCCTTCTGCTCCGCTAATTGTACTGAAAATCAGATCATAAATAAGGAGACCAAAAGTAAAGGAAGATCCTTCAGCTCAATGTAAAATCCATCTGTGCTTATACAAATGGACAGTGGCGTATTGTACTAAACAAAAACAAAAACACAATCAGCAAGACAAACTCCTGCTG